CCTTCCTTCCTTCCTTCCTTCCTTCCTTCCTTCCTTCCTTCCTTCCTTCCTTCCTTCCTTCCGGAACTGGTAAAGACATAGGCAGTTAGCCATACCTTTTAAATTAGCTTGAATAGACCCTTATAATCTTGAAATTTTATCATCATATAAAAATTATTTTTAACCAGGGTTGAACAACACACACACACACACACACACACACACACACACACACACACAGTATTATATATATATATATATGTATATATATATATATACACACACACACACATTCATATATACGTATATATAGCATGTTGTAAAAATATAATTTTGGGTTTATAGAAAAGTCCATACCAATTTAAAATGAGACTTGTTGCTTTCTTAGTCTAAAAGGAGAGAAAATGAACAGAGTTGATTATGACTAAGAAGTTTTATAAATGTGGCTTCATACCATGTGGCCATCTTACAATGGTGTAGACACGGCAGGCTGTAAGCCCTGCGGTCATCTTAAGGTATTTAAAAACATCCGTGTTTTTATAGGCATTAGAAATATGTATGTACACACACACGGTCTAAACAAGAGTCTGAACTTAGATTTAAAAGATTATATCCAATAGTAAATTAGAAATCTTTAGATAAGTTTACAACGTTATCTTGAGATTTCTTTTTTTCTTTTTGGAGAGCAGAAAAAGAAATGAGATAGATGATTTAAAAAAAATTAAGAGTTGGAAAGTACAATCTTAGAGATAATTCAATCAAACCGCATGGGAGAGCGAGCATAGAGAAACAGACAGAACTGTGAGAAAAGAAATTTTAATTTTAATTTCACTGATTGCTCTTAGTGTTACTAGATAATATTAGACATTTGACTAGGGTGAATACATGTGGAGGCCAGAGGCTTAGCAAAGGAGAGAGAATATGAATAAACCGTTCTGTGATCAAGAAGGGGAAATGGCGTGGGCCACGTGGCTAGTGCTTCATCAGCCTAATAGCAGGTCAGGCCAGGGGCTTAGCCTGGCTGAGCCGGAGAACCTCAGTGCCTGGTACCAGGGCTTTACCAGTGGTCAGGCTGAGTTCTCTAGAGGGAACCTCATCCTTGGGAAAGGACAGGGGCAGAGAGGCAGCTTTTGAGGTAGGAAGGGGCCCAGCAGCCCAGAAGAGACTGCAGTTTTGCAGCTCTGAAAACAATAGGATGAAAACATGACCCCACCCTCTTTACCCCCAAATCAGCAAAGCAGCCCACCATGTTTGGGTCAGCTCTGTGGGACCCAGGTTCTTGAGACAGGGGGCTGCCAGGGTGCTGTCTGAGCGGCCGTCCTGACCTGGCCCGGTGATGGCCATGGGGCATTTGGCAGCAGCGGTCCAATAAACTGTCTACAGCATGATTGCTCCAGTGCACTGGATGGGGGGAAGAGGGGTAGAGGCCAGGTCTCATGGCATTCACTGGCTTCAGGGTTAAAATCCATAGGACCTTGCCTAAGGCCATGCTGGAGAGCACTTTTAAAGCCCTCGATGCACGGGGAAGGTTTGGGTCCAGGTCTACATGTTCCTTGGCCCTCTCCTACCTGCCCAGGGAGAAGGTCACAGCTGTGCAGTATGGTCTCTGGGGTCTGGGGGCAGCGTGTGCTCCTTCACGTGTCCCAAAGCAGTACTTTTCTGATATGTGTCCTTGTCCAGGCTCTCAGGTGAGTCCTGTTTTTCCTGGGACCACTCTTGCACACAGAGGCTGGTAGATGGTGTGTGAAACATAGCTCTTGTGCAAAGGGAGTAAAAGGCAGGATATTCTGAGCCAAACAGTGGCCATGGCCTGGTGGCCCTGAAAGACATGGCCCACTGTGGAAATGTCCCAGAACAATCCCTTACGGAATGTTCTGGTGGGGACATGGGCAGCAGGTCAGCTAAGCAGAGATCCTGCCATGTGGTGACGACCTCCTAGCTGCTGGTTGATGTTCCCCTTGATACTCAGGAAAATGTTCGGTTATAAACAGGTGGGTCATTAATGGCCGTGGAGACGAACGGTAACTCAGGACGCTTTGGGTTCTGGATCCGCAACATTCCAACTCTAGCCTAGATGTTTCGTTTTCAGAGAAGTTCAGTTCACAAATCTTTCCTTCTCACCCACCCCCTTAAGTGTGTGTGTGTGTGTGTGTGTGTGTGTGTGTGTGTGTGTAAGGAGGTCATGAGATCACCATGGTGTAGCTGTGGAGGTGAGAGGCGTGCATCTCACCCTCATTGAGGTGCTGGGGATTGAACTCAGGCAGTCAAGCTTGGAGGCAGTCATGTTTCTCTGCTGAGCTGTCTTGCTAGCCACCATCCTTTTACTGAACGGCAGTTTTCCAGTAAACATCATCTTAAAGTTTTGGATGGCCTAGCAGCTACGTCACAGCTCACTTCAGCCTGCTGTACTTTACTACTGCAGCCTGAGGGGAAAAGTGAGCCAAACCTGTCACATTTCTGTTAGGGACACTGTTTTAACTTTAAAGAACATGATAGCATTATTCAGCGTTGGACATTTAGCAGATGTTGCAGAAGAAGAAATTAAATGGCCCTGTCATTTCGAGTAAAGTGATGGGAAACATTGTTACCAGCGATCATATTCTTGCTGAAGGGACACTGGAATGTTGAGGGGGAGGGGCTCACTGGTGCAGTGGACGCCTGAATGCTCACAGCCCTGGCTTCAAACCAGGAGAGACAGCCGGGTGGCTGGAAGTACCTTCTGCCTGTGGAGAGGACCCGGGTTCATGACGCCTCATAGCCACCTGTAACTTCGTTTTAGGAGACCACATACCATTTTCTGGCTGCTGCGCACACTGTGCGTGCACACAGTCCACACACACGTACACATATGTGGGCAAACACTTGAATACATAAATTAATAGAAAAATGAAAGGAAAGAAAAGAAATCAACCAGGATCTTCTGTAGCTCAACCACTCTGCGCCCTTAGGAAGCTGTTGATGTCCAGGCCTGGAGGCCTCATCTAGTTCTGCCAATAACTGGTTACTCAGACCACTGAACACGACAGATTGATAACTGGATAAAGACAATCCAGGACGAAGTCTCTTCTGTGGACATCACCCTGTGCCCAAGAAACCTGAACAAGTCCCTGGGTTCTCTCTTCACTCTTGGGTTGAGATGGGACTTCCAGGGTGTCCTGGAAGAGCCTGGAGGGCAGTGGTCACCCGTGACGGAGCACACACCTCCAGCTGTGCTCACCCGTGACGGGAGTACTCCCCTCCAGCTGTGCCCAGGCTGTGATAGGAACACACACCTCCAGATGTGGTCACCCACTGTTGGCAGGAAATCTTGGCATGCATGAAAGGACCTAGGCTGGTTGGTCTCTCCCCTCCTTCCCTTCTCCCTCTCCTCTTCTTCTCTTTCCCCTCTGCCCTCCCTCCCCATCTCTTCTTATCCAAAGCTGTATGCTTAGCTTCTCTCGCTCCTGACCAGGAGAGGGAGGAAGTGTTTCCAGGATACTTTAGATCATCCCTTGCTGTTTGCCCATCAAGTCCAGCACAAAGGGGTCCCCTTCCTATTCCCACAGTTCTCCTCCTGCTCCCCCCTCCCTAGTCCAGTTATTCTAACATGTTTTGTGAACTGACTCATCTGAAGTTGAGGTCCTGGGCAGCTGCCTGACCACTGAGATTGTCGTTAGTGACCTTCTGGGACCTTCCTCTCTTCCTCAGCTGTTCGAAGGCTTGAAGGCTTTCCGGGGAGTCGACAATAAGATCCGATTGTTCCGACCAGACCTCAACATGAGCAGGATGTACCGCTCTGCCGTGAGGAGCACTCTGCCAGTATGTACATTTGTTCCCTTCAGTTTCATCCTAGTCCCTTTTTAATCCAAAGAAAACAAAAGAAAAAAAAAAGTCATTGCTGAATAATTGCATCCGCTTTTCAGACAAACCGTTTGAATGTGAATGCTGACCTTAATTACCTGAACCCTTCAATGAAAGGTCAGAGGACATCTTGCAGGAGTCAGTTCTCTCGGCCACATGGGTGGATGGCAAGTGCCTTCACCTGCTGAGCCATTTTAATGTGTGAATTCTAGGGCCTTTGTAGGAGAAGAGCATGAAAGCCCAGCCCAGGGAGCCTAACCTGCTTGTCTGAGGTCACTCAGGAGGAGGCCAGGAAAGTGGGCTGAGCTTTCTTTGATTTCCTAGCCTGAGCACCATGGGAATGATCAAACTTCATGTCTGGCCACCTGCACCCAAGACCTGATGAGGTGACATGGTTACCTTTGTAGCCATAATGACATCCATGCATGGTGGTCATGCTAGCTACACAGTGGTCCTGCTAGCTGCATGGTGGTCCTGCTAGCTGCATGGTGGTCC